AAAAAAAAAAAAAAAAAAAAAGGAAATCGGCTAAAGCCTAAACTGAATCAACGCCTATATAATCTAGAAAAGCTCAACGCTTGCCTTACTTTTCTTTTAGAGAGAGAGAAGCGTTGGTTTTACATAGAAAATCTGTAGGTAGCTTATCTTTAGGGCTTTATTTGGTTATTGTCTTTTCCAGTGTCATTTCAGCATAAATTGCAAAACAAAGTAAATATAATTTGGAAAAGCGCCGGTTATCGAACAAGTCTGTGTTTCAACCTGTGCGATAACTTAGGTTCTTGTTTGACATTCCTATCTTCTATTTTTTAAATTTTTTATAATAAACGTTTGTTTCATTTTTATGTAAGTTTAGAGATCTTCTTTTAGAGGCATAGGAATAAAGCGATTTTTTAGTTAATTTTTGATCCAAAATTTTTTAAATTTTCTATGATTTTTTGATGCAAGGAACGCTCTCATACAGGAAACCGCAAAGACTTTAACTTTTACTGTTTAAATCATTTCAATTTAAAACGATGATTTCACCGTTGATTAGCTTTCATGAAAATCATATCCTTCATAACTTCTTTTATTCTTTAGGACATTAAGGCAAAAGTAATATATTTAAAATACTCAAACTGTTTCACTGTTTCACAAAGAATAGTTTTGACAGCATGACCAGCTATCATTTTAGCAAAACACATCAACAGAGTTTTCCCTCTGAATAATGGCTTATCTGCCAATAACCTGGATGAAATTTAAGAAACGCGTTTAGTGAGATCAGAGGAGTAGGAGAAATTTTAAAACTTAGAGGAAACAGAAGTTTGATCAAATTTTATTTTCATCGAAAATTTGCAACAAAATTTCACCTTTGTATTTACGTATTTAGAATTCCAAGTTTAATACTGTTTTTTATTTTTATTAATCAGGCCATTCACTGTACCATGTAAAAATATTTCACAATTAGGCATTTTAAGATTTATATTTGTTTTTATCAGTTGAGTAAGTTGTCTTTGTAAGTAAAGGCTTTGATAAGAATGCATTTAGCTGAGTCAGGACAGGGTGGAACAATGCTCCTTCAATTAAGCGAAAATAAACCACTTCACAAGTTCAATCCATTCCATAAGTCCATTCCATTCTCAAGTTTGCAGTTGATGATTAATATGGTAATTTAAAAGTTATGTTTTTTTTAGATCTCAATCAACAATTGACCACACTGCTAATAAAAGGGCAATTTTGGCAAATCAAAGAGGTTACAAACTGGTCCGCAACAGTCTTTTGCCATTCCTCCAAACTACTGCTAATCCGAAAACCATTCCTAGTTTTAGGAGATGTACAAGTTCCAATCCCCACACCACCTCACTAAAAACAAGAATACTTTACCGAACCGTCCCCACCCACCTGAAGTGAGGAAAGCAAACAAACACACTATTCCAATATTTAATCTCAAATTCAGATTAAGCTGTATATTAGACTGAAAATATATTGTGTTCATAGATATCTGTTGTACCTTTGAAACGTTTTTGCATGCTTATAACGAATGATAAATCTAAGACATTCCCAAATGTTACCAATTCTGATCAAACAAAAAGCAACATGCAAGAAATTGTCAAGACTTTGGCACTAACTTGTTCACCTGGTTACTCCTCCACACCACTTGTGTACGAGCAGCTGGTAGTTTTGACTTTTATCAAGATGCCACTGCATCAATGAAAACATTGGCTAGAAAAAAGGAATGAGAGTTTCCAACTCATCCTTTTATAGATAAAAATTTCGCTCCACTATCTTTGAATGAAACCAACCAAAATGTTTGAATATAGTCATCTTAAAATGCATTCATATGTAAGCATATTGTTCGGCCGTTTAGGTTTTTCAAGCTGTTTGACTTCTCCTGCAATGCAGCAGTAATAAGTTCCCTTGGCCAGTCATCAAAAATTCACAAGTATCTCTCTATGAAGAATTCATTTCTTTTATCAAGATTTTCAGTAATAGTAAATTCCCTCATTTCAGCAAGCTCTCCACTGAGTGAAAGTTTTGGTCCTTGAAGATTGGAGACCATTAATCAAGACTCATTCTTGTTATCCACTGCCTCTCAAATCAGCGACTTTCAAATCCAGGCATTGTGAAACCTCTTGCAAAACTCTCCACATCTGCTCTGAGAGAGTCAATTTTTGCCTTTGTTTCTGGGTTAGATTCAATATGTGAAAGAAAGTCCTTCATGGCATCACCTTTAAAAATGAAGAGACAAAACACATCACAAATTTAACTACTTGGTATGAAGCTATAGAATTACTGTATTGTGCATGAACAAACAGCTGTGTGACAATCAACAGCAATTAGAGTGTCATTAAGTAGAGCAGTCTCCAGTTCAAAAAATTGCCAGCTATCTACATGATAAATACAAAGCTATTTGTATGCAATACATGTTTCTATGTACAGATGGAAAATTGATAAATTGATTGTTGATGATATAAATCTCTTTATAGCAGTGTGGCTGCATCCCTGCAGCTTAACCCTTTAATTACCATATCAAAATTGTAATTCTCCTCACTGTAAACCATACTATTCTTGTGATGTTAGTTCAGAGAATTTAGTATTGGTTCAACTGATAATCCCTAAACTGATATTTTCTTTATTCTCATCACTTATCTGGTTGATACTGCATTGATATTGTAAGGAGAAACTCTGTCTAACTAAAATAGTAAAAGATCACATTGATCACCTACAAGATCTCTTCAGCTGTTCTGAAAAATTTGAATTCCATTTGAATGCTTAGTCTGGGTTGTGGTTAATTATAGGAAGGTTACCTCTGTACTAAAGCCAAGTGACCCACCAGGTGAAGCTTATCCCCATTTCCCTTGCACTAGTGATTGGGAGGAGAATTACTACTTTCCCCTGGATGGGATGGCACCTAACACTTCATTGTACCCATTGATACTCCAACTTGGAAAGAAGTATTGTGAAAGTAAATTGTTTTTCCCAAGAACCCAACATAATGACCTAGCCTGGCAAATGTTATATACCTTGGCCCACATTGAAAGCAATGCTCAAGCAAAGCCCTACCTGTTGCACTTTGTGCCTCAACTGCAATCTTCACTCCTCGGTCCAAATACTCTATAACCTTCACAAAGTCATCTTCTTTGAAGTTACGGGAAGTGAGGGCAGGTGCACCTATCAAGAAAAGAACAGTCAATCCTACAATACAAGTTACTCGCTCACAATACAAACTACAGAAATCTGACCATGTACATAGTGATAATAAATCAAACCATCATTTGGGTTTAATTTAATGGTGCATGAATGTCATCTGGGAGGGAGGGGGGGTAGCTTGCAGTGCAGGCGTCTCATCAGGACAAGCTAACATTACAAGTTCATCATCATTTTATCCAGCCAGCCTGTTTTGATTTAGAGTTTATAGGGAACAGTAGGGGGAAAGGGCAAGGAAAAGCAAGACATCATCCCCTCTCCTCTGTCTGTGGAGTAATGAGAAATAAAGGGGCCTAAATAGCCCATGGAAAATTCACTTTCAGATCATGGTCATATTTAAAGAACAATCTTTGTACCTAATCTAAGTCCTCCAGGTTTCAAAGCACTCTTGTCCCCAGGGCAGGTATTTTTGTTTGCAGTGATTGATGCCATTTCCAGAACTTTCTCCACACGAGCTCCGTCAATACCCTAATGAACACAACAGCAACATCAATTTTGATCACCCCCCTTTAAAAGAATCGAATTTAACACTGTAAAAGCTAGTTATTTATCCAAGGTCCAACCTAAACCACAGTCTTATACAATCAGTGGGCCTTGGGCTCTCTCTATAAAAAGGTTGATATAAGCAAATAAATATCCTTCCACTGTCAGCTTTTGGCCTTCATGGCACACTCCACAAAAATAAATACTCAGATAACAGGTTCAGCTAAATTGGGGATTATTTAGGACATGGTTTTGTAACACAATGGCTAAACTTTTTTTAAATAATCAGACCTAGGTGTCTAATCCAAAAATATCATGTTAACCCTTAACTCTTAAGATCTGATTGTTAATTCTCCCCTCTAGCTGCTACACATTTTCTTCAAAATTAGCTCCGAGAATTTGGTAAGTATTAAGTATTCTCATTACCTGTTTGCTAGATAGTGTGTGGATATTATTGGGAGAAGTTACCTCTCAATCACTTGTGGGAGTGGGAGGGTTAAATAAAGCCCACCAGCAGGCCCTCATTAGAGCTTTGGCGCAAAAGTTTGTATGCAGGAAAGTATGAGACCTTGAGAGATCTGCAAGGTGTCTACCCAGATCTCATGCGATCCTCTCCATGACTTGTCTCAAATCTTCCCACATGTAGAGAAACATTTGTCCTGTGGCACAGATAATGAGGACCTGCTTGCAAGCTATGGCATACACTGGTTCTCACCCTTGGTCTAAGATCAAGTAGAAGAAGATGGTTGTCTGTACCACCTGTAAATGAAACAACACAATAATTACATGTTAAAAAAAATGAGTTGCTATTGCCGAAAAAAGGAATTTATCATGTTTGCCTGTAATTTTCATAGGACATCTACCCGTAAATAGGCTCTCAGCTATGTAACAAGCTAGTTAAGAGACTTATAAAAGGCTATAAGTACCTTTTACCATAAAAAAAGATCCTTACACAGAACAATAACCAATGAAGGGGTTTCTCTAAGCCTAACCTGACACTATAGAATATCCTAAATCAGTCAGAGCTTTAGCCATTGATTTGGCATTCTTTAAAACCTGAAGCTGATACTCTTTAAACATTGGGCTTTTTGCCTGAAAGAAAAAAAAAATTAATATAAATTTATTAAGTAAACCTCTATATCTCTACTACATAGAATCATTTTTACAATTTGACTTCATAAATCTATCCGTGAACAATTTAGAAAAAGTCAAGACTACCTTGTCAGAAAGGCAAGAAAACCTCATCATAGAGTTTATAACTTTCTGGTGTTTATATCTTTTGCAATTCTCTGAATGTGCAAAATCAGCACAAGTCACAGAAACTGAAGAGGATGACAACAAAAGAACCTGATCTAAATCTAAATGTGAATTGTAAACTGTAAAACTATGCCTTGATTGATGCCTGTCAAATGAGCTGTTACACACCTGTTTCAATGCCACGCCCACCCCAGCAATAGCATGGTTATGTGGCCCTCCCTGGAGAGATGGAAACACTGCAAAGTCGATGTTCTTGTCAAAATCATACATAATGTCTGAATGAAAGTCAAGGACTTCACCATATTTCCTGAGGACCTTAGTCATTTGCATAAATCTAATCTGATTTCTCCCTTTCTCTGTTATACTTAGCTGACACGCAAAAAAAGAGAAACAATCATCTTAACCCTTTAAGCCTTAAGAGTGACCTGCTTCTAATTTCTCCTCACAATATCACCCCTGAATCAAACATTAGGGTAATGGGAATCAAGGAAATGATCACTAACTCATAAAGCTCTTGATTTTTGAAAACAAATTCTCCTTGTCAGTGCTTTAGGAAGAGTAGAGAGAACAGTTCAGAGAATATGTATACTGATGTTAGGGTGTAAAGGGTTAAAAATCACGAATTTAAGAGATCCTCACAACTAAGAACACTACTGAACTAGTAGTTAAAAATAGGACCTGAAAAAGTTCAGGCCTGCACGGGATTTGGACCCATGACCTCT